CATGCTGTGTTAGGGGAAACACTTCAGATCAGCAATAAGATATTGTTCCGATTAAGGAAGAGAACACATTTTCATGAAATAATTATTTTTGTAAAATTTACATAAATAATTCATGTAGGCTTGGGAAACTCTGCCAAGAGAGAAATGAATAATTCATTAAAATGATTACTAGGGTACAAGGTTCAGTGTGCAACCTCCACACCCCCTCTATTTGGTATGTACTGGTCACAGCACTGACCACTGAAAAGCACAATATCCCTAGGGGCATGAATGAGAGATTGCAATAAGAGTTTCCCATTGAGTTCAATAAGAGCATTTCAATCTCCTTCTCACCCCTGAGGGACCACTTACCTTTCAGTGGTCAGGAATGTATAATACATGGGGATTTTCATATTCCTTCTTCTGAAAAAAAGTTCTGTGCTGGAGTTTTCCAGAGAAGTTTGGGCTACATCATCACATGGATTAGGTAAGAATATTTTAGCCGAGTTTCTGAAGAACTATTCTTTTAGAAAAACACAATTCTGCATTGAGGGTATGTTGTCTTATGTGGGAACCAAGCAGATCTTAATACAAAATTAAGAGATTTATATTTAGACTATTAAGTGTGGAGAGTGCCTCCTTCTGTGAAAAGAAATACAGAAGGTGGCATTGGATGTGACATTCTCCAGCGTTCCTCTTGTGCAGTTTCCATCAGATCATTCGCTTCTTGGATGGCATGGGGTCCATGCATCTCATCCTAGCATCTGGATGTGCATGCCTCGGTTTGCCCTCTGACTCTCCAAGAAACACCCCCCACATGTGTTTGTAATATGACTCCCCTTCTTGGGGTCTAGTTTATTGAAACAGAGTGCAAACTACATAGTTTGCTTGGCTGTATGCTAAGGTGTAAGCAGTTCCGTCTATGGGGAGCAATCAGTCCATTTGTGTAGCTTGCCAGCCTTAATTCTTGATGTTCCTGGGGCACCAGTGCTAGGTTTGAAGATTTCTTCCCCTGTTTCTGACACAACTCTATGCAGTGCTTGCCCTGTATTCCAGCCAGAGACCTCCTCGGCACTTCTTGTTCCCTGCAGGTCTTTTCTCATTGTTTGAACAAGCAGACCCTTTTATAGGTGAAACCTTTTGGGGGCTGCCATTTCATGAGTCTTGGTCACCTGACTCAGTCTCAGGGCATTGCCTGAGTCGTAACCCAGTTCACCTTTGACAGGAAGTTTATTCCACCTACCCCCTTGAGCATGAGCAGCAATTTGTACCTTGAATCTGGAGGTTGCAGGAAAATTTGCTACTGGTGCACAGTCATGTCTTTGGAGGCCTTGTGTGTGTATACAAGGTCCCCAGGCATCCTCTCTGCCTGCCATGCTGGAGGGGGAAGGCTGGCCAGCATGAAATATATACTGTACAAACATTAACACAGACTTAAGTTGTGTTAACTTTGGGGTGGGTATATTGCTGGTGTCCAGGGAAGATGCATTTTTTCCCCTTGATTCTACTTAGCCTGCCCTCTCTCATGAGTAAGTATCCGGATCAACAAAGTATCTTCAGTGATGTCTGGAGCGCTTCTTGGGGGTGGGAGAGGAGAAACAGTGCTTTGAGGTGGCTCTGACCCCCTAATGCAAGGGCAGTGGCAGTTTTGTACATGGAAGGGACCTTTCATGCCCATGTCCTATGGGGACAATTCATCCTCCTGTACAGCCATTGTTGTTAATATTCTGGAATATAGCAGTCAGATTTCTTAGATTTTAGTCCAGTTAACAAATACTTACAGATATGATGCTGTCTCTTGTCATATCTGGTGATGATCCTCTAGAAGCAGCAGATGTCAGGGTAGGGTTGCCAACTTTCCAATTGCACAAAACCGAACACCACTCCTCCACCCTTGCTCCCCCTCCCCGAGGCCCCATACTCACTCACTCCATCCCCTCTCCCTCCATCACTAGTTCTCCCCCACCCTCACTTACTTTCACTGTGCTGGGGGATGGGGTAGGGATGCGGGAGGGCGGGGAGGTGAGGGTTCCGGCTGGGGGTGCGGGCTCTGGGGTGGGGCCAGGGATGAGGGGTTCTGGGTATGGGAGAGGGCTCCGGGCTGGGGCAGGGGGTTGGGGTGTGTGTGTGGGGTGGGGGGGAGGTGAGGTATTTTAGCGTGGAGGGTGCGAGGCTCTGGTGGGTCGGGGCCAGTGGA